GGGCCGAGCAAAACAGGCTTCACGAAGGGAAGGAAGAAGCCAACCGAGGGGTCTAGTTAGGACCAAGTGGCCTCCAGTCAGCCCTGGGCTGACTAAGCCGCCCTCCGCCTCCTCAGGTGAGAAACTTCCTAGGATGAAATTTCGGAGAGGCCTGTTCACCTGGAGGGTGGCTGACGACTGAGCTTCGCTGGGGGGCTTTCGTCCACCTGGAGCTCCGTGAGCCCCCTGCCCTGACCCGGAGCCCCAGGGTGCTGGCACCGACCCGACAGGAGCCTCACCATTGCTGTAGAGGAGTTGGAGCCGGTAGTGGATCCCATTATTGGTCTTTTCGCTGTTGGCTTCCTGGTTTGCAGCAGGGCCCAAAGACACAAGAGACGAGGACAGAGGTCTCTGTGAGCGAGTGCACCAACTTCAAGGCAACTTTTCCCAAATGGGACCCCCCCCAACCTGTGAAGCTAGTTACAGCGGTAGCAACAGAAATTGTGGCAAACAGTTAATCTCTTCTCCACCCTCATCACAAACTGCACTCACTCTCTCTCTCTCCCATTCCAGAAATTTCTGTGTTGTCCACATGGGTGAGACTCTGCTTAGAACCTGGGGACTGCAACCCGGGCCATCTGAGGCAAGCAACGCATGGTCTGAGAGTTCAGAGTTAGCACATCCCAGTCTCCCAAGCCTAGACTGAAGTCGTGTTCGTTTTGCGTGGATTCTCTCCAGTTCTGGGGGGCTCCATACTAACTTGCTGGAGCAGGACCTTGTGTCCCAGGAGCCTGGATTCGTCCAGGACGGGAAATGACGGGGCAGGAGGTGGGGGGGGGGTGCTCACAGGAGTGTGAGGATGGCTTTGCATGCACAGAGGCGGCTTCTAAGGCGCCTGGGCCTGCTCCCTGAGCCTGGGGCTACTGGGGACCGTGCTGCGCCCACTTACTTTTTCCTTCTCCACGAACCCCACAAAGGCAGTCCTCTCAATCTCCACGGGCTGGCCCTGTCTGTCGTAGAGGGCCAGGAAGAAGGGGAAGAAGTTGGATTTCCGCAGAATAGAAGGCGGCTGCTTCTCAAAGTGAGCCCGGGCCAGACCCACCCCGCTGCGACCAAAGACGCAGAGTTAGATCCTAAGCCAAACCATGTCCCGCACTCCCATTGTCACCCAGGACGCGCGCGCGAACCCCCCAAACACCCACCTCCTCTGCTCCCAAAACATCCCCTGGGTGCCTTCCATGACCCATCAGGAGCACAAACGCGGCTGAAGAACCGCACACATGTCACTCATGTTCCCGTGCTCCCGGTTCAGAGACAGCGGGTCCTCAGAACTCAGAGGTGTGAAAGTTTTGTTTGGGTTTTGGACGCGAGATGAAACGCTACAATCTTTACTCCACTTGAAGCGCGCTGCGTGCAGAGGAAACGTGACCGTGGGTGAGGTGAAAGGAGGTTAGAGAGAAAGTGCCCAGT